TAGCTAGCTGAGTGGTCAACAAGTGGAATGCCCTCAAAGACGAAGTTCTGGGAAACACCTCCACAACTTTAAGGCCAGTTTCAACAAACAATTCGAACGTGGGAACAGTTACAAGGCAACAAGGTGCATCTAGGCTGTGTAGAGTAGCAGCAGGCACAGGAGCAGGAGCGAGGCGGACGCAGCAGAAGCGGCAGCAGCAGGCGGCGAAGCAGGAGGGGGTTAGGAGGGAGGGGGATAGGAAGGAGGGGGGGATAGGAAGGAGGGGGATAGGAGGGAAGGGGTAGGGGGGGGGGGGGGGGGGGGGTCACTAACACTGCCCTGAGCAACGCAGCATTGTTCCATGTTTTTACCGTGCAAGCCTAGCCCAACCACCTCCTGGCCTTCGCCACGATCCTAATCACCCGATTCAGCTGCACTTCAACATCTTACAGCCTCCACTCCTCGTGCAACTGCCTCACTGGGCCGTTCACTTAGTTTACCCCTCCCTCCCCCACCCCCCGATGGCACTCTGACCGACCAGGCTGTTGGTGCTTGTAACCAGAGCACACTGACATCGCTAACATTACACACACACACTGCTCCCAGCAAAAGGTAATCACACATCATCGCCAGGTAATGATGCTACTTGTACTACTTGTACACCCACCTGAGTTTTAGGCTCGTCGCCCCAAGACCTGCAAACTGCCTTCAATTGGATAAGTTTAGATTTAGGAAAGACTTGGGTAAATACTGGTTCAGTAACAGGGTTGTTGATTTGTGGAACCAATTACCGCGTAACTTGCTGGAGGTGGGGTCCCTCGATTGTTTCAAGCGCGGGTTGGACAAGTATATGAGTGGGATTGGGTGGTTATAAATAGGAGCTGCCTCGTATGGGCCAATAGGCCTTCTGCAGTTGCCTTTGTTCTTATGTTCTTATTGCAATTCGGCGTTGTCATTCAGAGAGGAAACGCACGCACACACACCTACCTTTCTCTCACGCATTCATTCTCTCTCTGCCACACACACACACACACCTCTTTGACACCTTCAACACCTCACCCTTCACCCCAACAATACCTGAGCACAACAGTTCCTGTTGCAATAACGCCATCAGACCAACAGGCGACACCCCGCAGCACTTGTTTCGTAGCTGTCATTTCCTACAAGCCGGTCCAGCCGTTACCACCGGTCCCGGGCTGCAGGGAGACCTTCAGGGGCCCTCAGGGGCCCTCAGGTCCTCACCCCTTGTGCAAGACCCGTTAAGCAGGTCCCGACAGGCCGCTGGGGCATTGACTTAACAACCGCCCTTGCCTGCCCTGCCGCCTAGTGGCGGAGTTCGCGCGCATCCTACTGTCACATGCTATTCCGAACTCCCGAAGACCATCCAGGCCGTAGAGGTTACAACTTCCTCTTCGAGACGTTTCAAGTGGTGTTCGTTTGATTCGAACATGTGTTCTCTATCCCTCTTTCCTTCCGAACATATGTTCTCTATTCCTTTTCCTTCCGAACCCCCTCCCCCCACACACACATACATACACCAGCTTACCCTTTCCCTTGCTCTACATATCATCTCGCCCCCCTCCCCCACAGCCTTTGAGCTCTAGCGCTTGGGCCCCGCCAACATGACACACACACTTCTGCTGCTCTATACCTATACACAGGGGGAAGGTGTAATATTTAATTCTTGAATAACAAAGACTGGGAATGCAAGATTATTGAACGTGGGAGAGACTCGAGGCGGATGGGTGAGGTCAGGTGTGTGTGTGGGAGAGGCCAGGTGTGTGTGTGTGTGTGTGTGGGAGAGGACAGGTGTGTGTGGGAGAGATGTTGTGTTGTTATGGGAACATATCCACACTAGAACAATCTTAGAACTTCCTCTAGGTGGGAAATATTAATGTATGAATAGAGCTTCAATCACGTTTTCTATGGTTTTTATAGGTGGACTATTGTAAGAAATGTTTGGAGCCTTGGAGGGGAAACTATTGAGGATAGTTATGACCGAATTCTATGGTTTGTTTTGCGACTTGACAAGGTTGTGTTCACTCAGATATGCTCCTCCTACCTTTCTGACAATGAGTGTTGAGGCTTCGGACGTTGGGAAACATGCTGGATGTCCTTACATTTTTTCATGTTCAATTGGTTTATATGTTTATATTATATGTTTATATATAATTATATGTTGAAATTAAAATTTTGTTCAGTGATATTAGGGTATGGGAAATGCATTTTGAGGCATCTCTGTTTGAACGAAGGACATCTGTCTTCCGTTCAGATGTCGTTCATCTTCCGAACGACATCTGAAGGTCATTCAGAGAGCAAGCGCGCGCCATACCTTGACCAGGTGTGGCCATACCTTGACCAGGTGTGGCCATACCTTGGCCAGGTGTGGCCATACCTTGGCCAGGTGTGGCCATACCTTGGCCAGGTGTGGCCATACCTTGGCCAGGTGTGGCCATACCTTGGCCAGGTGTGGCCATACCTTGGCCAGGTGTGGCCATACCTTGGCCAGGTGTGGCCATACCTTGGCCAGGTGTGGCCATACCTTGACCAGGTGTGGCCATACCTTGACCAGGTGTGGCCATACCTTGGCCAGGTGTGGCCATACCTTGGCCAGGTGTGGCCATACCTTGGCCAGGGGTTGGGAAACTACGGCACACGTGCCCAGAGTGGCATGCAAGCTAAATTATTTTGCTGGCACGCAGCATAAAGTGTCGCTTGTTGGTTCCTTAAACCCAACCCATAATATATAAACATTTTAATTATGACCTGTTTTAAATCATTCCTATATGAATGCCTTCAAACACTTTCTCCTTCTCTATCAAAAAAATATAAAATTTATTTATTTATTTATTTTACGTTGCATCACACTAAGTTTTGCTTAGTGTCAGCACTAACATACAACGAAGATTAAGCCCAGCAATAGTAAGATCTTAAGTTGACCAGACCACACACTAGAAATTGAAGGGACGACGACGTTTCGGTCCGTCCTGGACCATTCTCAAGTCGATTGTGATGAGGACAGGTAGGGACAGGCATTAAATAGGCAAGAGAGAGCTGAGGAGGAAAGTCAGGTGTAGGGGATAGTAGTAATGAGAACTGCAGCAGGCCTATTGGCCCATAAGATCTTAAGTGTTTGTTGATGAATGTATTGGATGAATCCTAGCTGTGTGTGACTCTTCTCGCATGATAGCATGATGATAGCTGGAAGTGCTAGTGTAAATGTCACTTTGTCTCAGCACCACAAGGTCCTGTTGAAGTTTCTGGTGAATTATTGTCCTCAGGGCTGCTTATAGACACTCAGGGCTGCTTATAGACACTCAGGGCCGCTTATAGACACTCAGGGCCGCTTATAGACACTCAGGGCCGCTTATAGACACTCAGGGCTGCTTATAGACACTCAGGGCTGCTTATAGACACTCAGGGCTGCTTATAGACACTCAGGGCCGCTTATAGACACTCAGGGCCGCTTATAGACACTCAGGGCCGCTTATAGACACTCAGGGTTGCTTATAGGCACTCAGGGCTGCTTATAGACACTCAGGGCCGCTTATACACACTCAGGGCCGCTTATAGACACTCAGGGCCGCTTATAGACACTCAGGGCCGCTTATAGACACTCAGGGCTGCTTATAGACACTCAGGGCCGCTTATAGACACTCAGGGCCGCTTATAGACACTCAGGGCCGCTTATAGACACTCAGGGCTGCTTATAGGCACTCAGGGCTGCTTATAGACACTCAGGGCTGCTTATAGGCACTCAGGGCTGCTTATAGACACTCAGGGCTGCTTATAGACACTCAGGGTTGCTTATAGGCACTCAGGGCCGCTTATAGACACTCAGGGCCGCTTATAGACACTCAGGGCCGCTTATAGACACTCAGGGCCGCTTATAGACACTCAGGCCGCTTATAGACACTCAGGGCCGCTTATACACACTCAGGGCTGCTTATAGGCACTCAGGGCTGCTTATAGACACTCAGGGCTGCTTATAGGCACTCAGGGCTGCTTATAGACACTCAGGGTTGCTTATAGGCACTCAGGGCCGCTTATAGACACTCAGGGCCGCTTATAGACACTCAGGGCCGCTTATAGACACTCAGGGCCGCTTATAGACACTCAGGGCCGCTTATAGACACTCAGGGCCGCTTATAGACACTCAGGCCGCTTATAGACACTCAGGGCCGCTTATAGACACTCAGGGCTGCTTATAGACACTCAGGGCCGCTTATAGACACTCAGGGCCGCTTATACACACTCAGGGCTGCTTATAGGCACTCAGGGCTGCTTATAGACACTCAGGGCTGCTTATAGGCACTCAGGGCTGCTTATAGACACTCAGGGCTGCTTATAGACACTCAGGGTTGCTTATAGGCACTCAGGGCCGCTTATAGACACTCAGGGCCGCTTATAGACACTCAGGGCCGCTTATAGACACTCAGGGCCGCTTATAGACACTCAGGGCCGCTTATAGACACTCAGGGCCGCTTATAGACACTCAGGGCCGCTTATAGACACTCAGGGCCGCTTATAGACACTCAGGGCTGCTTATAGACACTCAGGGCCGCTTATACACACTCAGGGCCGCTTATAGACACTCAGGGCTGCTTATAGACACTCAGGGCCGCTTATAGACACTCAGGGCCGCTTATAGACACTCAGGGCCGCTTATAGACACTCAGGGCTGCTTATAGACACTCAGGGCCGCTTATAGACACTCAGGGCCGCTTATAGACACTCAGGGCCGCTTATAGGCACTCCAAGGTTGAAGTCAAAATCATATTCTTTAACACATGAGTTCTGCCACGCATTAGAAGGCAAACGTTAGGTGAAATCCACACGAAATGGACTCTGATTACATAATATGTAACTGTATCAAGCTACATATGTATTTTGTAATGTGTTTTAGTGACTTAAGTGCAGTTTAAGAATGAAAAGAAATCACTTACAGTTAGTGTATGTGTGTGTGAATGGACTTTTATGTGTACTTAAGAGAGTGTAAGGAGTATGGGAGGGAATACAAC